AGAATATTTGAAAATTGTAATGGTGATTTAACAAACAGAATGCAAAATATGGAACATAAAACTGACCAGCTAACAGAAAAAAATTTGTTCATGTCAGATGATTCAACAAACAATGCAAAAAAAATGGAATGCTAACAGAAAAAAATGTGTTTCATGTCTGATACTAATGACAGAACATTGTTTTTGGAAGGCAATTTACATGCCATTCAGATAATCTCTAAGGATGAGAATATTAAGTCTTTAGAATCATATATGAATGAAGAGAACAAGAAACTGACTGGTTTAATGAGGTCCCTAGAAATTTATACAGGCCAGGAAATTCAAACACTCAGAGAAACAATGGTGAATAGATTACAGGCCATAGAATACCAGAAGCAGAGGTACAAACCATAGAGAATGAAAATGATTTAACATTACCAGTATCTTTTGGAGTCAGCGATGACCTTCCAAAGGTCGTTACATCATCCCCTATGGTTTACCCCATTATGGTCACTGAAAATACAACAGCTAAAAAACACCCAAAAGGATTTGTTGAATGTCATTGGGAGCCAATATGTATGAAAGATTTAAAAGGTGTAAAGGAAGCAGTAGCCTCTTATGGCATGCATTCGCCATATGTGAGGCAATTATTAGAGTCATGGGCAACAAAAATAGGGTGACCCCTAAGGATTGGGGCCAATTAATCTCAGCTGTCTTTGAACCTGCATCTCAAATTGAATGGCAGGCTTTATGGAGGGAAGAGACCAAAGTACTTGAACTTCAAGGCCAAAATAAAGGTTATAAGTCTCCCCAAAATAAAATTCTTGGTGATGGTCTTTATGCTGATGCAGAGACTCAAGCTGCATATGATGAACACATCTTGTCCCTGTGCCATAGAGCACTCTAAATGGTTAGGATAAGATTCAAGAGCCAGGGGAAGAATTGAGTCTTATACTAAAGTGTTATAAGACCCAAAGGAACATGCTAGTGCATTTTTGCAAAGATTGACTAGGGTAGCAGATTCAGAAGCTAGGTGAATACTCACAGAATCTCTAGCTTATGAGAATGCTAATTCACAATGCAAAAAGGTGCTTTGAGCCTTAAAGCTCAGATCAGCACCATTGGATGAATGGATCCTGTACACAGCCAATATTGAGTCTAATGATTACGACACAGAGGCTTGAGTAGGAGAAGCTATCTCCAAAGGTATGACAAAACATTAAAATACCAAATGCTTTAATTGTGGTAGAACAGAACATTTGAGAAGCAATTGTAGATTAGGTATTCCTAGGAATAATGCTTCTTATAGGAATAACTCAAAGAAAACCATTTGGATCCTTCCACACATTGTAAGGAAAACACCAATCTCTGGAGTCCCTACATTCTACACTGATGCAAACAAATCAGGTAAGGCAGGATACAATCAGGAGAAATAAGTAAACTGGTTCAAAGCCCTTATAACTCTGTGCAAAAGGCAGAATCATATGCTATCCTTATGATAACTTATGAATTTTACAGAACCCCCTCAATATAGTTACCAATTCTCAATATGCAGAGAGAGTTGTCTTACACATCGAAACTGCTGAATTTATTCCTTATGATGATACAGAATTAACTTCTGTAATTTTATACAATTACAAGAAATAATCAGGAGTAGGACTCATATATATATATATATATATATATATATATATATATATATATCACATCAGATCCCATACAGATCTGCCAGGTCCTTTAGCAAAAGGCAATGATCAAATTGATCATTTATTAATAGGAAGTATGCTGGAGGCCTCAGAATTTCATTTAAAAAAACACTATGTGAATAGCAAAAGTTTAAAAAAAAGATTTTTCTATCATTTGGCAACAAGCTAAGGAAATAGTAAAAAAAAAATCCTACTTGTTTCTTCTATAACCAAACTCCTATACCAGCAGGTAGTAACCCTAAAGATATACATAGAAATGAAATTTGGCAAATGGATTTGTTTCACTTTGCAGAGTTCAGGAAATTAAAATATGTACACAACACAATAGACACATTTTCAGGATTTCAAATGGGCAACTGCTCTGAGCTCTAAAAGGGCTGATTCTCTTATTACACACCTATTAGAGGTAATGGCTATTATGGGTATACCAGCACAAATAAAAACTGACAATGCTCCAGCATATGTCTCCAGTAAATTAAACAGTTTATACCATAAAGCATGTTACTGGTATACCACCACAATCCTACAGGACAAGCAGTTGTTGATAGATCTAATCGCACTTTAAAGGAAATGCTCTATAAGCAGGCAGGGGGAACCAAGACCCCAAAAAACAGAATATGTAAAATTTTACTAACCTTAAACTTTCTTAATTCTAATGAAAAAGGAAAAACAGCAGCAGAACGACATTGGACAATAGAAAAAATTTCTAAGCTAAATCAGCCAGTGTATTTCAAGGATGTATTGACCTCAGTATGGAAACCAGGATATGTGTTACGTTGGGGTAAGGGTTTTGCCTTTGTTTCTGCAGGAGAAGAAAATCTTTGAATACCATCAAAGTTGATCAAGATCTGATTTGAACAGGAAAAAACTCTTGATGAAGAGAGATGATAGGTCATCTACCAAGGTATATCCCTAGAGTTGTATGGAGACCTCACAAAGGTAGGGGGAGTGTTCTGTTCTTGTTATTACAGGAAAACAGAAAACACCCAGCTTCAAGAAGACAAAAACTTTGGATGTGTAGATGCCTAAAGAAGAAAGGATAGCTATTCGGAAAGAACCATCAAACAAAGAAGAATCTGGCTTATCGTGTCAATATCTGTTTTTGTTGAAAGCTTTCTATACATTCTTCATCTTCTTACTTCCTAGTACTCTGCCTGTCCTAATTCATGTAAACCCAATGCTGGCTTTGGAGTTAGATTTTACTTTCCTTCTCTAAATTCAAGCATGTTGTTAAAGTAAAATTCGGGGTTTCTGTCTTATATCAAGAAGCCAATTGGTGTAAGACAGAAGAAAACAAAATCTAGGGACTATTATTTATCAAAATTCTAATCTCTCTAAAATCCTAATTTCCCTCATACTTATTCTCATTGTCATTGTTACCTTTCCCAGTATGCATACCTATAAAAGTTGAACTTTCTCTGTTGACATTATGTTTAAGTCCTCCACAATGAACAATAACATTTCCTAGCAGCTATCATTGAAGTCTCTGGAAAGAAGATGGGGCTCCACTTCATTGATTCAACTTGATTCAACTTGTGATAAACACCACTCTAAGACCAGTTTAGGACTAATACTGCTACATACAATTCCTGACTAGCTAGCTGAAATGGTGCACCTTCTTATAACCCTCTGGCCAGAGCTTCAGATAAAAACTTCAGTCAAGCATCTTCTGCCACTCAGACACTAGTTACAAATGTTACTAGTCCTTTGGAGATTTTCCTTTGCCTTATTTTTTTCCTACAGTATCCCATAGAATCACCATTGCCCCATTTCAGCAGGAAGTAACTCTAAGAAAAACAACGCCCCCTTTCTCTACAATTGGTATAGAGTATTTTGGTTTTTTTTTCTCTCATCACTGAAAAAGGGCTAATTATCACCTTCTTAGTGTTGGTTTTAAGTTGTAGGGTTGGGTGTGGAAGGTGATTGTTAGACTCGGGTATCTCTTATAGAAGTTTAGGGATATGGATGGAAAGAGTGTGTTTAGGATGGGATATAGGTAGATTAACATATCTTCTTGTGAACTAATTTTAGCAACTATTAGCTATAGATAACTTAAATTGTTAGATTCTTGTATGTTGACTCAGGAGGGTCTTCTTTCTGTTTACAATGTTTTTCACACAAATATAAAACTATCTTTATGTATACATTTTGTATATTGATACAACTTAGGATATTTTATCATATTGCACTTTACAATTCTACCTCTAGTCAAGGCATTTCAGTTACATATCTGTTATTGACGTGTGTGTGTGTGTGTGTGCGTGTGTGTGTGTGTGTGTGTGTGTGTATTTTGAAGTCATTATCCTTGCTAAATTATTTTAGGAAGCTTTAGCCATTGAGCAACTATGTTTCTGAGAATTACAGATTATAGTTATCCATGCTTCTTATACCTATGAGGTTAGTCAGACATAGATATTTGATCTTCAAACACTTCTAAGACCTGCAGAATATGGCATTTAAATGTTTTAATATTAGTACTCTGTTGACTTGAGACACAATTGCTCCTGACAGCACCCAGCTATTCCCGAGAGTATGTTGGGCGCTGATGACACTCCATTTGGAGTTCATTCTCTCCTCAACTACTAGCCTCTTGGGCAAAGAACTGACCCCACCTCGACTGCTGACCTTGAACATGCTCTCCTAATTGGGCTTGCAGGAGATAAACTTAAAGAAGACAGCTGAACCCTGCCAAGCCAGAGTAAGACAGTTTTTCAATTTCCCTGCTTCTGAAATGGTCCATCTGATACTTTAGGCCTTAGCCAAAGTTGGTGCTCCGATGTTGCTGTGAGACCTTAGTGACTGTCTAGGTAACCTGCTGTTTCTGTCTTTGCTTGTAGCTTTGGAAGTCGCATGCTTGAACTAGCCTACCCTAGTATTGTTATTTTCCTTCTCAGGTCTTTGATGAGGTTGAAGACAAGATAGTCATAGCAATATACTCTCTTATCTTAGACAGACAAGATTTAGACTTTTCAGATTAGGACTGCTACAAGAGTAACCTCTGTTATACCTTTACCCTGATCCTGGGCATGTATACTGGGCATGGAGTATATAACTACTGCTTAATGTTGCTCTTGCTGATAGTAGGTTTTAATTTGTGTATGTTTACCTTTCCTTTTCCTGGAGTATACTTGACATTTGTTATCATTATATATAGTTTTTTCATCAGGCTTCAAACCTTCTTCTTTAGACTAAAAGGGGAATTGTAGGCATCTGGTCTGTGGACCTGAAATGGCAGCCACACCCCTTTGGGTGTGGCTTCAGGCAGACAGAATCAGAAAGAGAGGAGCTTGAGGTATGGCTTTCCCTTGTGCACTCTTTTTGGTGGGTCAGCGGATCCAGTAGGGAAATGCACTGATGGTTCTTTGTATTTTTCTGTGTAATTGTCCCCAATAAACACCCATTTATCATTTATCTTAGGTCTAGTGATATAATTATATCCTGGCCTTCACTTGTCTGGGGTACATAGTTAAATCCTGTTTCAAAGACAAAAGGGAGGGAAGAAGAGGAGGGGAAATGAGGAGCAGGAGCAAGGGAAGAAGAGGAAAGGGGAGTAAACATGGAGGACAAGAAAAGGAGAAAATGGGGGGATGAGAGAGTGAGGGAACAAGGAGGAAAGAGGTGAGTGCAGGGAAAGATGAGGTGATATGCCCAAAGGCAACTTGATTCTTTTTAAATTGAGCTTTGGTGTCTCTGACTTGCCCACTGAATGGAGACATAGTTTTAGCACTCAGCTGTGAGGCAAGGGGATTGGGCAAGGCAGAAAGGTTTCTAGCAAACCCAGTGTCTGGGGCTGGGGTGGGAGTGGGAACCACAGCTTATGAACAAAGAACATGGTGTTCTTTGGAGCAAAAGTATGCTTGGGCTCAGGCGGAGCTCTCATCCTGGCTCTGACTCCCACAGCATCTAAGCACAAGGATGCAGGACATGAACTGCTGAGCACGAGGATGCAGGATGTGAACTGCTAAACACAAGGATGCAGGAAGCACAAGGATGCAGGACATGCACCGCTAAACACAAGGATGCAGGACTTGCACCGCTAAGCACAAGGCTGCAGGATGGCCTCCACGGTCTTCTCCTTGATGCTCTTCAGGAAGCTCATCACTGCAGTGCCCCCAGTGCCCCTGTCCTCCAAGGCGTGGGGTAGGAGATGGCTCAGCATTCTGCTCCTGGCCTTGGCAGCAGCAGATATAATGTATCGTGCCACCATGTTGATGTGGTGACTGCGTAGCTCTGCCAGCGCTTCCACACACTGGTTATAGGCCACCAGGCAGCTCCCGGCACCAGAGGTCAGTACATAGTTCCTCAGTGAAGGAGATGAATGGAGGTCCTCCAGGAAGGCCTTATGGGAAGGAGGCATGTAGTCTCTCATTCTTTGCAGAAAACCCACTAAAAGAAATAGCCCAGAATAACACCTTAGCTCAAGGCCAACATTCAGGAACCTTTGCCTGCTGCGTCATACACACGGGTACCAGAAATGCTTGATAGACTTCTCACTCAGCCTACTCGGGCTTTTGTTATAGCTGTCAAACACTCAAATGTACATTTCTGGATGTTGACAGGAGATGCAGACAAGAAAAAGAAGCAAACATCTCTCAGATGATAAAGCTGGACAGGGATCTACTAGCCAGAGTGTACGTATCCCAAACCAAACGTAAATGGCATGACATTTCCGGCTAAGGGCCATGAGGCATGTCTACAAGCATGCGTACAAACCTTACATTGACTGGTGGAACACCCTGGTGAATTCAGTTTGCTAGATGCTTCCTACAGGGGGTGAGGGTGGAGGGTGGGACCAGGGTAATGGAAGTTACCAAGTACAAAGAGAAGACACTGGGAAATGAGTATTTTAGTAGAAAACCGGAGAGGCCAAAATACTGATTGGACCTTTAATTAATGCGGTTTTCTTGTTCGTTCATTTGTTTTTGCTTTTCATTGTTTTGTTTTGTATAGAGTCAGTGGCTAACACTGATTACTGAAATCCAGGATCAACCCTGAATGTTCCAGAGAACAGTGCAGATAAGACAAGGGAGTCTCAGTTTGGTTCTGATCCAAGTTAAAGTTTGGTAGCACGAAATACCTTTTTGTATCAGTTAAGGGCACAGCTCTACGCTGGCAGGCAAAGCAATAACTATCTTCAAAGGCTTTGAAGTGATGGGCTCCCTCTTCTGGCTAACATGAATTCAGTGGGAGGCTGGGCCGTTTCATGGGAAGGGCATCAGCAGACAAGTTCAGGCCCATTACTGCCTGCTGCAGACTGGGCCACACAAGGTCCTAGCCTTTGAATTTACAGACTAAAGACCCAAGCCCACACAACAGTGAACAGACCAGGTACTGGCTATCTTTTAAGACTTGGAAACGAACCCAAGACCCTGAGGAGATCTGATGCCCTGATATTGAGTAACACACAAACACAGCTGCCTGGTGATTTAGGCAAGTATAAACTTCAGGACGATTTCATTTACACCTGGTTTTATGAGTTGGTAAAAACACCTCCCTATTCTCTCTAATTGTCCCCTTGAGGAACTGGGTGAGATCAGAGCATTGCTTACCACTCTCCTTGCAATGCCGAATGCCCAGGAACTCATCAAAGGCCTGAAGCACAGAGCTCTGGGCTGCACTCCCTCCTGAGTACCTCAGAGGCTCTGTGGCCACACCCTCATAGACCAGCCCCGTAGGCATGGCTGGGTTGTCCTTCCACCTAGGCAGGAGCCAAAGGGGAAAAAAGAGTGAGAGGGATGCCCCACGGGACAGTGTCTTCTCTGCCCTGGACACTGAGCCATTGAGGAAGTGGGTGTGGCATCAGCGGTGGTCAGTGATTCAAACAGCTCCATCATATGTATATACATGCATCTGTTGCATCAGCACCAAAGAACAACTAAGAGGCTCTGAACTAGTCCCCACTTCCTCTGCTAATCTCAAGCTCTGTAGCAACCCCACAAATACAGCATCCCAATCACACACACGAACACCCAGACACTTGGCTGTTATTTCCTGAAGCACTTTGAAACGTTCATAGCGCTAAACCGGTGGCTAGGCTTTGATTGCTCCGTGAGAACTGTTATCAAATAGTTGCATTTGCCACATTGATGGCAAGCATGACTAACAAGAGCAGAAATATAACCAAGGTTGTGTGCACCAGAGCACACAGACGGTTGCAAGGACAAAGCCTGGAGCCCCTGCTCGCATGCCTCTCCATCCCCCTCCAACCTCTCCATGTCCCTCTCTTTCCATCTCTCTCTCTCTCACCCTTTTATTTACCCCCCATGACTTTTCCTAGTCTTGACCAGGTACCTGAAGCATAAGGAAGCATAGCATATCACCCTGGCCCCTCTGGTGCCTTTAATTGATAAACACATACACACTCACTCCCTGGCCACTTGGGCAGTAGATAAGGCTAGGCAAGTTTGACCTTCTTTCCTAACACAGCAAACACTTGAGTTAAGTTCCCAGACTCCCAGCATAACAGGATCTGACACACTCTGCATACATCCCAAAGTTACTAGTCTGCAGTCTCTTTTCCTGAGAACTTTATCATCTAGATGTCTACCTTCCCCAAGAAGTATGTTTTCCTATTTTGCAAATGAACAAAGCATCTGGGTGACATGGTAGGTTGCAGATTTGTACCAGTGTTTCTGTCATTCTAAGCCATTGTATTCAGAGAAGGGACACGTGGACCCCATGTAGTCAACAACCACGGGTTCACACACACACACACACACACACACACACACACACACGCACGCACGCACGCACGCACGCACACACGCACGCACACACACACACACACACGTACGTACTTATCCTGGACCTTCTTCTAGACTCTACTCTAGGGTTGCAAATGTGGCAAGGAATCAGGTTGCCACATTTGGTGGCTGTTTGGGGTCAACTGCCTCATGAGTGTCCATGGTTCTCAACTTGGGCAGCCACGTTCAGGAAGGAGGTGCAGCAGAGAGGGCAGAAAGGGAGGATACACAAGAAGGGGGCTCCCCCAGGATGTGAGACAGGGTCTCTATTCTAGGAAGACACAGAATTTAAGCTCAACTGTGCTGTGATAGTTATTAGACCCGGCTTATCACATTTACCCTCTCAGAGCCTTGGCGAGCTAGTCTGAGTAGTCTAAGTACGGAAGATCCTGAGGGAGGCCATGCCTGTGTTAAAGATTCTACAAGGCCAACCGACTGACTGGTCATAGAGAGTTGGAATGTTGAAGACTCTGGCAAATGACACTGGCCTATCTTTAACTCTGTCCTGCTGACCCACTATCTATATGACTCTTTGGAATGTATTATTAGCAACAAGTTTCTACCACCCCGAAGCTGAAAGTGCCATCAAATACCATCTGCATGTGACCTATGTACAGAGTCTTCCTTGTTTTGCTATAGCTTGCCTGCCTGAGGTCCCTACCAGTATACTCCCACAATCCCTTCATTGGTAATGCTCTTTTACCCTTGCTACAAAATCTCTTCCATTCATTTCCACATTGGACCATGTTATTTTGGGACAACTTGAATCGGTGTCTCTGGATATTATAACGTTTGGGCACAGAATAAACTAAGTCTTATTCCTTTGAGTTAAGAGCTGTGTTTTGCATTGACATTCATACTTATCTTGTTGGTCACTGTAAGAACTAACTCAAATAGTATTTGCCTGGAATTGATTAGACATCCAGTAAACCCCAGCCACTTATTGTTCTAGAAACCCCAGGGAATAAGAATGCCTGCTGTTGCTCTCATCTCTCGGCCACAATGGACAAGCCTTTCTGACATGTAGGGAAACCTGCTTCCTGAACCTGTTCCTGGAGTTGAATGGGCTTCAGAGAGGTCTGTGAACAGCCCAAAGAATCAGAGTTCAGGGCTAGTGAAATTGGAAATGACATTTTATGAGGAAGGAATGCTGTGGGGATAATGAACCTGGTCCACACCAGCACCGTGCTGTGATCTGTGTGAAGAGCGGCCGTGTGCACACACGTGCTGTGATCTGTGTGAAGAGGGGCCGTGTGCACACACGTGCTGTGATCTGTGTGAAGAGCGGCCGTGCGCACACACGTGCTGTGATCTGTGTGAAGAGGGGCCGTGTGCACACACGTGCTCCCACTTCTCTGTGGTCTGTATGAAAACCCACAGGATTCATAGCCTCCAACTCCTCCCTCATCTTCAAGATGATTGACATTTCTGTCTCAGCTGTTTCCCTTTTGGTCCACCCCTGAACGCCTTCTTTCCAACCTTGTTCTCCACCAACCTACCTCTCTCAGAAGGTGTACTAAGAACCTGAAGCCCCAGGCATGTCCCTAGTTAGCCTTGAACTAACTCAGAAAGGAAGCCAGCATGGCCCATGCTGTCTGGCCTTCACGATGATTGGCATCTTCCTCCTTATCCTGCACATCTGACCCTGCTCTCCAAGCCCACGCCCTCCTCAAGGTCATAGCCATTGTTCCCTTTGCTTGCACAGGAATCCACATGGCCTGCTCCATTGCTCATGCATATCCGTCCACACATCACCTGGGATGTGACATTTCTAGATCCCAATAAGCAAGATACCTGAGCCACCACACCTAGTGGTCCCTCCCTAGTATCCTTCATTCTACCTGGCATTGCCCCATGCAGTCTCTCCTTGTAACATACACTGTAGGACGTTTGCTTCGATTAGGTTTGTTTGCCTAGAATCTTCTCTCCATCTTGAAATCACAAGCTCCACAAGGGCCACATGGTTGCATTTCTTCACTGCTGTGTCCAGCAAGTACAACAGTGTCTGGAACGTAGTAATCCCTCACCATGTATTTATTTGATGAATGAATGAATGAGTGAGTGAAAAATGAGCATTCCACAAGTCAGTACTGAAGGGACTCTGGCCAGCTCGAGTATAGTGAACAGGCTCAGGCAGGCCCTACCTTTCTCTCCCTTTCCCTCTGTTAAAAACCTTCAGATTACATTCCTAAAGCTAGCCCCTAAGGTTCATTCCCTTATTTGGCCAATCCCTCTTCCTGAGGCTGACTACCAAGGTCCAGCTATCAAATTATTGAAATTCAGCAATCAAAAGCCCCCTTGGCTCACCTAATTAACACATCCAATCAAAATTAAACACCTCATCCTAACACGGGGTTTCCCCCATCTACCCTTGTGAACCGCCTTTTCCTATTGGCCAGTCTGTCTCCTCTCTATCCATAGGCAGTCCTTTGTCCTGCTGGGACAAATGCCCCGCCCCTTTTCCCTTGTTCCCTTCCCCTTCTCCCTCATCCTCTATCTTGTCCAGAGCTACATCCTAGCCCATTCTAACACAGACTTCATCTCCTCTTAAAATGATACCTGCAGGGTCATTCGTTGCTGTTTTCTGCCTGAGTCAGAAAGCAACTGCTTTAACTTTCTTCCCTGCTTAGTAAAGGATCTCTGTGAAAACAGGTATTTGGGTGTGGTTTGTGGATAATTAGGGTCCAGGAGGGAGTCCTCTTCAAGTATGACACTGCCAGAAGACTCCAGCCAAGTGCTTGAAAAAGCCCAGCTACCCTATGGGATATGGCAGAGGCCAGGAACACATCAGAAAGTGCCCTTAGGACACACACAGAAGTGCTTTGCTGCAGCCAGCCATGGTGGAGGTGATGCCGGAAACACCAGCAGAGGGAAGATGACAAAGGATGGGTCTGCTGTCACAGGCCACACTCTGCAGCTGTGTGAGACTCGCCATCTGTGTGAGAGACACTGAGGAGACCAAGGAGGTCAGCATCTCCCACAGCCACCTACAGGCTGGGCTGCTGTTTATGAAGGGACGGGGCCCTTTTCATTTCCGGTCTCTATGGTGGGTTATTTTTAGCCTTTCTGTTGTTATTTCTAGCAATCCCAAGGAAAGGGGAAGTTGAAGGAGACAAGAAAAATGAAGTGACAATTTCCCCCCAGAGGAGCTCCTGGCCTTCCTGGGAACTCTGATGGGCTGGGAACTAAGGGGACTCATCTCATTTCCACATGAAATCATCTTCTAAATAAAAGTATATTTTAAGAAGCAAATGAGAAATCACAGGCCAAAAGCAAGGCAAATGCAGAGCGGGAAAACTGACATTTTAAACACAAGTCTATTGGAAATTCTCAACAATCCAGATGTTTTTGGAAGTATAGCTACACTTAGGATTTGGTATGACCACTTAGCCACACAGGAAACAGTCTCAGGGTTAGAAGCAGAGGACACCAGATGAAAAGTACCATTTCCCCCACCCCGAAGTAATTTTGATGAAAACCAAGCTACCTTCTGGTTCCTATCACACCTCTGACAAAAGAGGAAGTAGAATTTATTCTTTTGAAAGACACTGGTGGGTAGAATTCTAAAATTAGCTCCCCAAGATTCCCAACTGAATTCCTAGGACACTTAATACTATGAGAAGTTCCCATCACTGAGATACATTATATGACAAGGCGGAAGGACTGCTCAGAATCAGTTAAGGCTGCTGATCAGTTTAGCCTTCATTTGGGAATTTCCATGACTCATCCAAATGGACTGAACCCAACCACATGAGCCCTTTTAAGAGAAGTTTCCCCTGGCTGGTGGTCAAAGGAGACATCAGGAAAGTGTGTAGTTCCAGAAAAATTCCAATGCCACCACTGTATCAGAAGCCACAACTTGCGGTGATTGGGGGTCAACATAGGAGGCCTCTAGCAGTCCAGATATCATTTCTACATGCCCACACATGCAGGCAAGCAAACAAGCACACATGCATGCATATATGCACATACACACACCAAAGCAAAAGCTCAACTTGCTAGCACTGAGTTGGGAAGCAAGGTTTCACTCACATTCTCAGCTAAAGCCACCTGGGCCAGGCACACTGGTGTATATATACCCATAACCCCTGAGCAAGGGAGGCTGAGACAAGAAGTCACAAGTTCAAGACCAGCTTAGGCTACATACTGAGATTTTTGACTCACCAACCCAATAATAAGGAGAGTCCAGTCCTCTAACTACCTTGACTCTAGTCTCTGAGCTTGCCCGGGCTTTGGGTCCACAGAACTGAGGAAACGGCCAGGTGTTTAAAGCAGCTGATCTTGTGGTGGTGGTTTGTACCACACAGGGAACTGACAGGGGCTTCCGAGCAGGGAAAAGTACAAGGAAGTCCAGCTCACTGACCCACTGACCGGTCTAGTACATGCTTGCTGGAGGGTCTCACAAAAAAGAGGTCTACATTACCCCCTTAGATCAAAACTGTTGCCATGGTGAAACACCTGAAAGGATCAACCTATCCTTGGACCTTTGATCCCAGCACCTTGGCTGTGGCTGGGGGATGTATCATGGTTGGTGGAGGGAACATGGAGGGCCAGGGTCCCACAAGCCTTTTAGGGGCATGATTTCTTCCCAGGAGTCTCTACCTCCTAATGCATCCATAACTTCTCGGTAGTACCATAGGCTGGCAGCCAAGCCTTTCAGCACACAGTCTTTGGAGCTGCCTAAAATCCACACTGTGTGTCCCTTTAGACCATTTCCCTCTGTATTTTCTCTTGATACTCTCTGGAAATCTCCTTGTGTCTAATCCTTACTCCCTGCAATAGGATTCACCACCCAAGCCAGACCCTGCCCCCCTTAAAGTATCCCACGGCTCTCCAATTTGAAGAAAGTGCAATATATATATATACATATATATGCATATATATATTCATTCCTTTTTCTCTTAATGGGACATGGCACTATAGATTTAGCATTTGGTCTGTCTCTTGCTGTGTCCAGACACTACTTAGATTTTTTTTCTCTCAACAGCATACAGCATCCATGTACCTCAAAGTCAACAAGACACAGACATTCAAAAGTGACTCTGGGAGTTGGTGAGTTGGAGAATTGGATATGATAATCTGACTAAGATCTGTCAAGGTAGGGATAACTAGGAGAAGAATGGTGTGTGTGTCTGTGTGTGTGTGTGTGTGTGTGGTGAGTGTGTGTGTGTGTGTGTGTGTGTGTGTGTGTGTGTAGAGCAGGAGAGAGAAAAGGAGAGAGATGGACATATGGGGGGAAATCGTATAGGCGTGAGACATAACAAGGGTGCCCACAATCAGTAAAGAATGACCTAACAAGGATCTCCAATTATTCCTGCTACCACCACATAGCAAAGCAACCAGACTGTATTCCCCACAACTCGGAAGGCCAGGCAATCTAAGAGCAAGGCAACAGTGGTTTGGTCAGGTAAAGACCTGGACCCTGGTTTGCAGATGGGTCACTGGATACTATGCCCTCATAAGGTCAAAGAGCGAAGGGGAAAACCGTGACTATTTCTTTCTGGCCTTCTTCTCCTCTCCCCGATTCCATTCTCCTCCCTCTCCTCCTCCTCTTCCCTCCACACCCCTCTCCCTACTCCTATCTCCCCCCGACATCAAGTTGGGCTTCTAAGAGTATCCAGGCTGATGGCCAGTGGCAACCCCTTTGCACTTAAGGACCCAGGCTTAGAGACCTTTTCCCTCTGATGGTGTGTGGGGTCTGTCCTCCTAGAACAGACCCAGGTGGTGACTTTGCCAGATTCGGTCACTTGCTCTGTTTCTTACTTTAGGAAGCTTCTGTCTGTCTATCCTCATACAAATTTGGGAAACTGTGTGGAGGTCTTAGGCGGGAAACCATCTGAACTCTACTTACCCAGAGAGGAAGATCCGGATGACCGTGTAAAATATGTCTGGGTCTACATAATCTGGAAAACAATCAAATGTGAACCTTACCACAGGCAAAAAGCAATTGGCCACATGTGGCTGGACCCGCTGCTTTCCTGGGGCTCCCCCACCCCTATCTGATCTATGCAGAGCCCAGAATGGAAGCAACAGATGGAATGTTCCCTTGCAGAGGGCATGGGCCCTCACAGGGCTGTTAATCCATTCCGTATGCTCGCCTCCTCTGGGGTGCTTTGGTTTTCTACATTTCACCAAAACCTCTTTTAAAACGTAACATTTTAAATAGACGCAATGTGCGAGAGGATATGGTAAGCCAAGAAAAGAAAATAGCACCCCTTCCCCACAGGTGAAGCAAAAGCAACGACCAATGCCCAGAAGTTCCTGTATCAGCTGAGGGCTTCCCATGGGCTGTCACTTGTCACCGCAGGTCAACAGAGCTGTTAGCCCCAAACCGCGTTGGCCAGCATGGGCAGCCATGCTTGGGGAGGATGGGTTCCACTCTGACTCCTACTTAAGGAAGCATGCCATCATGGTATCATACAACCCCAACTTTTCAGCGGCAGATTGCTTTAATTTTTAATTTTGCTTGGTTATGTATCAAGGTCACTTTGTTGCCTGTGGCAAGCTGGGCAGGGTGGGGCTGCCTCACCCTGAAGGTGGCGACATCAGCCCTGGCAGATGCCAAGTTAATGCCAGAGGACTATGGGGTGAAATTTAACCCTAAAGTGAGCCCAGGGCTGAAGGCGGGGTATTAACGATTTCACTAGACCCAAGACAAATGATAAATGGGTGTTTTATTGGGGAACAACTTACACAGATAACAGTAAAAACCTGCCACAACTTTCCTGCTCTAGAAGATACAGTCTCTGCCCTTCTGATGCGATCTGCAACCCAAGAGAGAGAGAGCCCTCCCTGAGCTTCTCTACCTTCCAGTCACAGGACCTGAAGCCACACCCAAAGGGGTGTGGCCACTAACACAAATTCACTGGCAAGATGAGATGCTACTACACAAGAGATGTGTCTATACGAGAGATGCCACCTCACGAGAGATGCGACTACACAAGAGATGTGACCACACAAGGCCTTCCTCTGGCCACATCGTCCAGGGCCAAAGTGCTTCAGGGTTAGCAAATGTGTGTCCCCACAGAACCGCTTTCCTGTCTGGCTATGTATTTTCCTGGTGGTTCCTTGACCACTTCATGATTTTTTTGACTGCACTCTCTGGTCGTTTTTGCTGTTGCTGTTTCGTTTGTTTGTTGTTTGCTTTGCTTTGCTTTGCTTAGCAAGAGCCCTGCATTGCTTTTCGGTGGCTGGAGGGGACAGCACCTCATCACCACACTTAACTGGGGTTGCTTTCTTGAGCCCTGTCTACACTGGTTCCTTTGGTTGACACCGTCGTGTCTCTCTCCAGGGCCTCAATAGCATCCTTCCAAACCTTCTGCCTCCCCGTGTCACCTGCTCTGATTCATGGAACACACCGTGGCACAAGTAAGCTCTTACAGCCCAGTCACACCAAAGCCCTTTCTTCTTAGAGTCTTAGTAGGCGCTGGCCAACCTTCCACAGTGACCTCTAACCACAGGAGGCATGTGGACGCCGTATACATGGTAGGGTGGCTGCTAACCACATGTGGTACAAATGAGATTTGTTTAATGCCTTTGGCAAGCAAAAATTCTTAACTGAAATATGGTGACAGGATTGTCCGTGAACTCTTACATAAGAAATGAGTCAGTAAGAGAAGGTTGGAAATATAGTCTCCCATATTTTCTTCTGAAATTGTTATCCTTTGTATTTATGTTCTTATCTATTATTATCTGTATGTACTATGAGAGAGGACGTAAATTCAATTTCCCTCCTTTGTTGACACAGTCTCTCATTAGATTTTCTTAAAGGAACCTGCCTTACACACCCAGCAAGCACAATTGATCAATCTCTGTGTTAATGAAAATGAAAGAGCTGGCCAGATGTTTTGAGTCTCCAGAAAGAGTTGGCCATCAGGGAAGGGGGTACCAGTTTCGTCTTCCTTGGGCAGCTCCTGCCAGCACCAGTTTAGGTCACAGAAGTCTAAAGCCAGGCTCAGGTGTCTCAGAACCACAGAGAGGAAAAGCGAATGAACCAGAAGGGGCTTGCAGACACCTCCACCAGAAAGTCTTGCTCCCAGCAGCCTAGCCAGGGAGACTGAAGCACAACCAGGCAACGTTCCCCTTGTAACCCACCCAATCTGCCCGGTACCGCAAAGGCTCAGCGTACCAAAGACGTATCTGAACCCTGAAGAAGGCAAACTGCCCCAACCACGGGAAAATATACAGAACAATTCTACCACCGGAAAAATCATTCTCTGAATGATTTGGTTCATGCTAAACTAAGGTGGAACATTAGCGCCACCTTGTGGCGAGCTTTACCATCAGCCACGTAGAGCCCCACCCAGGTCCAGGCCACTAGAGGCTCTAACCTTGCTTCTTACCATGCATCTGGGCCAAGGCTCTGGTGATGTCCTGGATGGAGAGTCTCAGCTGCTGCAGAGCCTGGAGCAGGGCGTCCTGGCTTCGTTGCAGAACGGCCTCCACCCCCTGAACCAGGGCCTAGGGATGAGATTCACTGCCTCAGTTTCACTATTCTCCCTTAAAATCCAAGGGGGAGGCAGGTGGGGCGGGTGAAGCAGCCTGCACACCTGGCACGCCTCAGGAGCATAAGCTATGAGGTCAGGGCCCTCAACATTAGCATTTTCTCGTTGGTTCTGGGTTTCCCATATCATGGTTGTTTCTACCCTCGCCTCCCCAGCTGGGACATCCTCCTGCAGAGCTCTTGTGTGATACGGGACAGGTTCCAAAGACTCCCCAGCTTCACAGCTCCAAAGAGGACGCCCTCCTTGTCTTAGACTGATCTCCTCAGCTGGACTGATGAACTAATCTTCCAGTGGACACGGCAGACAAGGACTCAAGGGGCCACAGGATTTCACTACAGTGTGTGTAGGTGACTGGGGCCCAGGCCTGGCACAGGCTACATTCCTGCTAGACCAGGAACTACACCCAAGTTCCTACTTTCACTTTTCAGAACGAAAGATTCAGCAGTAATTATGCCAGGACTGGACACTCTACTGAACAGCAGGCGCTCAGTAAAGCCATAAATCCAGCATAATCTAGGGATAAAGGTGAGATATGAATGTTCCTGCTTCAATGTCTATTGTCTTATACCCAGCCCTGCTAGAAAGAATGAGAAAGAATGGGGCCTGAAGGGGGGGGGATGAATTTTGCAACCCCCCCAGGGCTGGGTCACCTGGGTGACCTCAGTAACACCTGCTATCTGGAAGAGCCCATTTCTTCTGAGACTTTGCAGAATTGCTCTCTTGCAAGAAATTCACACACACACACACACACACTTATACACATACACATAACACTCACATACTTATACACATACACACATATACACACAACTACATTCACACACTCAACACACATGCACACACACATACACATACACTCACACACTCAAACACACACACCTCAGGTCTTAACTGAGCCTCCATTTCTGGGGGACATTTGCCTGATCCTTCAAGCATGGATTTGCTTTTATCTGTCTCTTCGTAGAACACCTTTTTTTTTAACCTATGTGACTCTAGCTTCTGCAGGACCATGAACTGTGACAGCCAGCACAGTGGGTGTTTGCCTGTGTGGAATGGTTCACACCAGGCTAACAGGATGCTAACACCACAGATAAGAACTCGGATCTCTTCCTCCACACTTGACCAAGCAGGAGAAAGCCTGTGTCGTCCATGTGGAGAAAACCACCACGGGGAGAGGACAGGATGAGTGTGTGACTGAAGATGAGGGGACTATGAAGCAAGAGGGTACCTTAATGCCAGGCGCCGCTGCCTTCTCCACCAAAACTGTCACCAGTATGAAGGCCCGAAGGCTCTCTCCCCCCGGGAAAGAGATGATGGCTTCAAGGTTACTGAGAGACAGAGGCCACCAGGAAAGAAGGAGACAGTGTCAGTCAGAGACAAGTCCCCCTGAGCCGAGGACTCTGGATGTTTAGCGTGGCCTTGATGATCCTTGACCTTTGCCCCAGTGGAAGGGTCATGGGAAGCAACCATGTTGGACAGTTCTTAGCAAGAGGTTTCTGGTCCTTCAGGATCCCCTCATCCTTCTCTAAAGCTAAGGAGTCTTGGAGCTAGAGAGATCAAAGTGAACCCCATGTTCCCTTTTATGGAACTGAAACCATGGCTCAGGGAAGTGAGGCAGTTTACCTTCTTATCTAGGGGAAGAGAAATGATTGCTCATGTCCAGATCCAGCATAGTTTAAGAACTTCCCCTAGCCCTTCTCTCTGACCCCCCCTCCCTTTCTTTCTTGCGTTTGTTTGTTTGTCAGGCAGGGTCTCACCATTTATTGCATATTGCTCTCAATCTCACAATCCTCCCACCTCTGCCTGCCAGGTGTGAAGACTACAGGTGTGTGTCCATATCTGGCTAGAGTCCCAGCCTAGAAGGAAATGCCGTCACAGAGCTGGGGCTGGAAGACTGTCAGGAGGGGTCATTTCTAATCAACCTGACACCATCCCATCTGATTCAAATCTGATCTGATCTACAAAACCCAAATAAGTAGCCCTATGCGTCTGCTTCATCTCCAGCAATAAGCAAAACCAAGACTCAAATCTCACAACGGCACAGCAGATGGAGTCAGGCGGGGCCATTGGCCCAGCAGAGGTGTGTTAGCTGGGGGAATGATGCCTCCACCTCCCTCCTGTACCCTTTGCAGAGATGAGGGGCATGTGTACCGGATACAACAATGGCTTCCCTGCCAACTTTGCTCCCCAGGGGAGCTGGGGCCTTTGACTGTAGACCAGTCCTACCCGCAAGGACCCCAGTCTACCAGATGACGAGGGATTTCAAGGTGACTCTCCTGCCACTGCTGTCTGCCTGCCCCTGGCCTTTCGCAGATGTTGTACAGTGACGAGAAGCCCTCTGAGACTGTTAGGCTCCGTCACAGGGTCACAGCCCATTGCCTTCTTACACTGCACTTCTTATTGTAGACAGACAGGGACACGTGGTTACGAAAAGAATGAATCACCTCACGCCTACAAGGTTGCCTCCCTCAGAGGTGATGCTGGGACTATTGAGTTTGGGGCACGTTTCTTGGCATTTTCATGAGTTCTTAGATAGTTGATGCTGTGCTATCCACAGAACTTGACACGCCTCTCCTCTTGTTTTATCAAAAATCAATAAAGTTTACAGTGGTTCTAAAAGGGCATCTTACCTGATTTCCCATGGTCTGGTCACGTTTCAGTGATTGGCAATGACAAAGACAAAAAAGAAAAAAAAAACAACTCAGTTGGTAACCAGAAATAATTCTTGGGGTCCCTGGTATCCAGGCTCACAAACTCATCTTCAATGCCTAAGCATACATATACATCAGCACACGCCTAGAACAGCACGGGTTGTGATTGGATAATGAGCCACTGTGACAGTGAGAACCAGATCGCAACTCACAGTGCCCATGCCCTGTGTCTGTGCAGGCATTCGTTCTTGCTGCTCTTTAAGCTGTCACTCACCCCAAGCCCCGTCTTCGTTACTGTAAGCCTACCCACCTGCTACAACTTGCCTTAGACGGCATCTGCTCTCTCGGTGGCTTTCCCCGCTGCTCTCCTGAAATCCTAAGGACACTGTTTGTGTTCCTCTTTGATTCATCACGTGCTGCTTTGTCTCAACACTGGGTTGCTTTGGGAGTGTCTCACTTCTATTTCTCTCATTTCTGCAAAGCACTAAGCTCTGCGTGGGCATCTTAAAAGATGCCAGGAGTGCGTTCACCCAAGAGAATGACCGGGAAGCCCGGAGATTGCACCTCACTTGCTGGGACACTAACTTCCCGTGGTTGTTTTTCACTCTCTTGTCCCAGAACATACGCATTCCCCTCTAAACTTCCTTTCTCCTTTTCCCTTGAATCATAAACCCAGCTTAGTCAACACAATGCCGTCATCACAATAATCCATGCACACATGTTTATTATCTCACCCATCCCAATTCTAAGCTGGATTCAAAAGCTTTCAGTGCATAGCAGTTTTTTATGACTATATTAACTGGTCAAAGATCAAGCCATGGCTACCTACAGTCATCATGCCAAGGAAAGTCTCTTTATATCCAGCCTCAACTTGTCCTTTGCGGTTTTAATTTATCACAAAAGCAAATACTGCCTTGTGTCTACAACCTGCAACAAATTTGGCTCTGAAAATGAAGTTTCCATGGATCCATTGTTTGTTTTAAAAGTCAGTAGACACATGCTTCTATGCCCGGCTCAACTGTGAAATGGCGTCAGCTAGGAAGAATTATGGCATACATCAGAGCCCCGCATACCTAGAGTCATTCATTCCTAACCATATCCATCACTCCCCGATTCCCGACACCCAGTCCTAACCTCACTTGAATGGAGGGCAGAAGGGGGGAGATACCACGTGCTGAGAAGAAACAGCACAGTGTGATTATGCAGGAGGCTGAAACTCAGAAATCCAGGTGCGAAGCGGAAGCAACAAGAAAAAGTGTCTGAGGCCAAGGTGCCTAGAGGTCACAAAGAAGAGATGTCGTCGGTTTAAATGTGTGTATTCTCTCTCATTGGGACAGTAAAGCAAAGGGTGAATGTGAACATACAGCTCACTATAAAATAACCACAAGCTCCAGAGAGAGAGAGAGAGGGAGAGAGAGACAGAGAGAGAGAGGGAGAGAGACACAGAGAGAGAGAGAGAGAGAGAGAGAGAGGGAGAGAGAGAGAGGGAGAGACACACAGAGAGAGAGGGGGGGAGAGAGAGACAGAGAGAGAGAGGGAGAGAGAGAGGGAGAGAGAGAGAAAGACACAGAGAGAGAGAGGGAGAGACACACAGAGAGAGACAGAGACATAGAGACAGAGAGAGACAGAGAGAGACACACACAGAGACAGAGAGAGAGAGGGGGAGAGGGAGAGAGAGACAGAGAGAGAGGGAGAGAGAGAGAGAGAGGAAGAGAGAGAGACAGAGAGAAAGACACACACACACAGAGAGGGAGAGACACAGAGAGAGACAGAGACATAGAGACAGAGAGAGACAGAGAGAGACACACACACAGAGACAGACAGACAGAGAGAGACAGAGAGAGAGAGACAGAGAGAAAGAGAGAGACAGAGAGACAGAGACAGAGAGAAACACACACACACACAGAGAGAGAGAGAGAGAGAGAGAGAGAGAGAGAGAGAGAGAGAGAGAGAGAGAGAGTGTGTGTGTGTACAGTTGAAGTTCCGAGTCCTCCCATTCCAGACTCTCATCCCGTTGATATCTGAAGAACCCTTTCCCTCCTTACCCTTCTGGGTTCCTCTTGGTCCAGTTTGTCAGCACCAGATCAGAGTGGACCAGGATAGCAGGGAGCCCCAACTTCCTGGAGACTTCAACAAAAGGAATGGCAAGAGTTCTGGGCAGCACCTTTAGGACAGGAATCCAGGCAATTAGTATATTCTATTGGCCAAGGAAACCACCATGGTTGCCTGTGATAAGTGACCTGGAGACCAAGCTTGAGTTCCCAGAGTGGTCCCCACCTGCACACTACACACGCCTCCTGGGAGAGACCCAGTGGGAATACTGTGTATGAGAACACATTTGCAAGAGGTGCAGAAGTCAGAAATGGAACATGCTGTACACACAATACACAGAACCTCTGAGAACTGTACAGAGTAGAGTGTTACCAAAATGTTTAGTGGAAACTGAGGACTAAGTGTAAATTGCTCTCTAGAGAGATGATAGATTATAAATTATATACATATACATATACCAGGCTTAGATGTACATAATACAGAAATGGAAATAGAGATGTATATGTACGTAGCTAAAGACAGAGGACAGTGTGTGTGAGATAGACATGGACAGAGAGATGAACTGTAGGCACCTTCATGCCAAGCTGAGTGTGTGGAAGTCAGTGGACAACTTAAGTGCCGACCCTCACCTTCCGCCTTGCTTGAGACACAGTGACCTCTTGTTCACTGCCGCCTATGCCAGCTTCCTTGTGTGTTCTGGGGACCTTAGCTCCAGTGTCAGGCCTGCTTGGAAGTGATTTGCCCACTGAGCATCTCCCCAGCCTAGGACTGAAAACAGTTTAAAGAAGACCTGTACCTGCCATTCCTCTTCCTCAGAGTTGGGGACAGAAGTGTGTTTCAGGTAGGGAACCACTGCAGAGTGTGGGACTCTGTGGCAAGCTTCTGTGGAAGGTAGCTGGAGGTCAGGGAAGACTTACAAGATAGAGGGGTGGCCTCAGGGGCTAGACATCGCCCTCCTCATAATTCAGGAGAGTGGTTTAGGGTGCATACAGCAAGGGAACTCATTAAGATGTTGTCACTGGCCTAGGTTTTAAACTTTCCAACATTGGACATTAGACGCTTGAGTTTCAAACATGAGATACAATATGCCATGGCATTGGAATCTGAAAGAGCACCATGCTGTCCTTTCTTCCCAGTCTCGAGTGTTTACATGTGGGACAAGAGATGGGGTGACCTGGCAAGCATAGCTCAGCCTTCTCGTGCAACTGGCCAGTTCTGGGATAAGCAAGACCTTGATTTCTGGGAAAGGGAAACTTAGGAAGAGGGAAGAGGAAATAGCTGGAGATCCTGTTGAATGGTGAAGTATTAACCCAGCACGCACAGACCCTGGATTCCATCCCAGCACTCTCAGCAAGCATAGCAAGAAGGAGGAATTCATAACTGGACAGGGCGGCCCATGCCCGTAATCCCAGAACTTGGAAGCTGGAGGCAAGATCATGAATTTGAAAACAGCTTGGGCTGGAGAGCAAGTCCTCGTCTGTTTTGGGCACTCTGTAAGACCTTGATGAAAGAAAGGAAGAAAGAAAGAGAGAAAGAAAGAAAAAAAGAGATAAAAGAGCTAAAAGATTTTTTTAAAAAGGAAGAAAATGAAAGGTATATTTGTTAGGATTCAGGCATCTGTACTGGCCTGACCTTAGGGTTCTGACAGGACACGCCCTCATTTGCAGCCACTAAGAGCACCACCTGTGCACATTCACTATCTTCCCTTTAAAAGGGCCCTGTCCACCTCCCATCCTCCTCTCTCTTTCTCTCCCTCTCTCTGTTCTGTTCTCTCTCTTTTTCTCCCTCTCTCCCTCTTTCCTCTCTCCTCTCTCCTGCTTTTCCTGTCTCTAGAGGCCGGTCTCCCCCCTCCCCTTTCCCCTTTTTATGATCCCTTTCCCTAATAAAAAAAAAAACCCTCTGTTTGAACCCTGTCTCATGTCATCTTTCTGTCATGTGCTACTTTTCATAATTTACAATGTTAGTTTCCTTCATGGGTTAAGAACAAGGGTTTCATGCTCTGAGGTACAGAGTGAAACTTGGAAGTCACACAGAGTTAGATAAAGGGTTGATAAATTAACAGCATGCTGGGCAGAAAGGCAGTATTAAGGGGAAAGGGAAGTGCCTGCATCTCTATGTGTCACTGGGGGAAAGCCAGCTACTTCAGTAGAATCCGATACTCTGGCCTTCCCACTGTTGACCTTGAACTTGGGACAGCTCCCCAGGTGTCCGCCCAACAGAGAGATTATGAAAATCAAGATAACCGATGTTTATAGAAATATAAAATTCTTCGGGGGTGTTTCATGAGTTCCCAGATCTAAGGAAGCTGTCGCACATTATTGGAATAGGAGTACTGAGAACTTCAGAACTGGCCGTTAGTTTAAAAGAAAATCAGCTCTGCAGGCAAGAAAAAAAACCAGTCCCAATCCTTTCCTGGTCTTCTTCTGGTTTTTTGGAGACTGGGCAGTGGAACCTGGGGCTGGCGACTTGATTCTTGGTGCAGGGACCCCAGGATCACCTGATAGGCCTGTCCTTGCCCCTCACCTTTTGCGGTTGGGTCTCCCCTTCTTGCCAGACGAATCCCATGGTGATGGCGGCCAGCACCAGGTGTGCCAGGCGTTGCTCACGGTGACTCTTTAGGAACCTGCAGTCCAGGAGGGGCATCTACTGAAGAGATGATAAGATCAGCAGCTTAAAAACTAAAGGGGGATGGGGGGCTAAGACTGGGGTCCCCGTGGCTTGAAGGTGCCGCTGATACCAGGATGCTGTTTGGCTTTCAACAGACATCTAAGTGTCTTCGTGCACGCCCACTTAGCACAGCTCTTAGAGTGACACGGGGTGGGGAGGTGCCTCGTCCTGGGTCCAGCACCCAGGCTGTGCCCAGTTTGGGCCAGGCCCTGGTCTCCATCTGTTGCATTGAGGGGTCGCAGAGTAAGCATCAAGGTTGAGATAAGAGCCCCGCCCCTTCCTGGCCCCGACATTTCTGCTGGAGCCCACCTTCTTGACTCGTTTAACCTTGTAAGGGCTATGAAAAGAGTAAAATCACGGGGGGTTAGGGATGTAAACTCTCTACAAAACCAAGGCTCAGCTGGGTATAAGGCTTGCTCGGGGCGCTAGTAAATCACCCACAGCCCAGGCATATGAGATGGCGGGGCTTTCCACCAGCTCCACCCCCACCTTGTCCTGTGGGAAACCACAGCTTCTGGTGACACGGAAAGGTCACCCTGCAAAGTGGCGTCAGGTCGCAGTCGGGTCACACCAGCTTCCCCGTCCTGCCCGGTTGCCATCGGCTCATAGCTCATCACTTTGGCTTCTCTCCCTTTGCTCCACAGGCGCCCTCAGAGGGCAGGCGCCACTTGAAGCTCGCTGGGGACACTGGCTTCCCAGGGGTGGACTGGACCGTGCGGGCAGATGGGGACACAGAGCCCTTCCTCCTCCCGCCACTAGGGGGCAGGGTCTGCCTGCGGCTGTGGTGGCGCAGCCGATGATGACAGTAGTTACATGGTACTCTCTATAAGACATTTAATTTAATAGAGAGGGTCTGAAGTATAACGCTGAAGCCCCCCATGCAAGAGCCAAAGGACAAAACTGTCCTTTGGGGCATTTGCTACGGTCACAGAATCGGGAAGGAATGCGGCGGTTCTGCGGGCTGACCACAGCCATGCGCACTTGAATGATGAGTCACAGGTTTTGCTTGAAATTCCCCAGCAGCCACGGTTTTTCAAAGCAACAAAGAAGTAAAATTAGTTTTGACATAATGTGCTTTGTCGAGTCAATGCATAAAATATACTTTGACATGTAATCGCTGTAGAAGTCTTTCAGACACTTGAATATCTATTCTGTCTTCTCCCTTTTTCCTCGGCCACATCTCAGGTGTTGAAGAAGGCTGCCTACAGGAAGGACACCTAGGTACAAAAGGAACAAGGTCCATGTTTTCTGAGCATGCCAGGGTTGCTGGCCTCGCCTTCTAAACACACATATGACTCGAAAATCAGTCATAGGGACCAAAGAGGACACGGTATCTTCGTGATCACTTTGCCTTTACAAACAGTCACAGGTGATTAGGAAGAACACCCAAACGCCCCTTATCCTCCCGGGCTGAATGAAAGCAGTGGCCACACATTCTGGAATTTTCCATAGTTCATTTTCTCTTTCAAGTTCAGCTCTACTCTCGTTTCAGTTTTGTTTAAAGCACAAAGAAATGGTTTTGTTGTGACATTTTCGCGTTTGCATATTTTGTGGGGGGAGAAACCAGAGGTCACTTCACACACACACACACACACACACACACACACACACACACGTTTATTCTCATGACTTCTTTTCCTAGAATTTGCTTGTTGGAAAGGCTAATTCTTTAGCTCCACGTTGGTTTGCTGGTGCAAACCTGACGTTGAAGAAAGACTACCATTCACTTGCCTTATTTACAGCTCTCACTGTCCAGTTGGACTCTCCATAAGAAACAATGATGTCTCTTTCAAAAGCACCTATTAAACTTAGAAAGTAATTGAAATTGGCTGTAAAGGGTCAGGGACATATATATCTATGCATACCAAGTATGTACAAGTACTTTAAAATTGGAAAATGGCCTTTGGCTCACATACCACATATAGGATAGAACCAGCATTAGCAATTTAGTGTGCTGGCCCACAGTCTGAGCTCATGTGTTAATCACATTTTTGAGCTGCAAATTATTTCTATTGAGTGGAAAATATAACACTGATATTTGTGAGTACACTGAATCCTAAGGACATTATTGGATTGTGCATTTAACTAAATATTATAGGACACTATTTGATTATGTATTTAACCTGGCAAATTTAATCTCAATATTCTTTTCTCAGAACTCAGGAAATATCCATGGGCTTTTCAAACCAGCCATGCCACCATGCTGACTTCACCACTAACACGATGCGTATTTCTGACATACATTAGGTACTTGTGCATAACACTTCTTGAACTTATTGATTCAAAGCCTACCAAGATGAATATGCATAAGACAGGACATCAGTTTTTTTATACAGAATGGAATGTGAGTCTATACGGTGACATACCTACAGTTCCAGCATTCTGGAGGCTGAGACAAGAAGACCTCAAATTTGAAGCCAGCCTGGGCTACGTGCTAAGACCCTCTCAAAAGGTAAAAATGTATGTCTCTATTTCTATCATTTACATATCTATAAATGATAAGTGCACATTCACATGAAGTAGATGCTCAATAATTATATATATATATATGTAAATCATAATCTTTCTGTTGCTCAGGAAACTATACAACAAAGATGTATAGAGTGGCAGAGAGACGCATACACATGCCTATGTGGCCACTTAAAAGCTATACATTTCCATTTATTGAACAGACATAATTATTAATGGAGAACCAGGGTCTTCATCTTTTATCGTCTCATCTTCTATCTTTTATTTGCTATTGCTATTAAAATGTCTACAGCAGACGGCCTCATGTATTTACTTTTTTTTTTGAGTGACTCCTTCTGAAAGACCTGTTCATACAAATGGACTAGCTGCAGCAAAGCAATGCACATTTGACATCTCCACGGATGCCGTTACCTTGCTCATTACACTGAACCGTCCTAACTGTTTGTTCCACTGCATCCTGCCTAGCAACTCGTGAACCAGCATAAAAGAGCGAGGGTGGAGACAGAGCATTGGTGCGTGGGTGGTGGGTTTCCCCACAACGGGAGGCCCTCTGCCAACTTATACCTCAACTTCGCCTCCGATGCACATCCAACATGTTTGTGGGTTCTAGACTTCAGCTAGAGAAAGAAGCGTGAGGCGTTCCCTTTGAGGGGTCAACACTAATTCTTATATTGTTCTCCATCTTATGTTTTCCCGTTGATGTTTTTGTTAGTGCGGTGTGTCAACAGTATGTACAAGCCTGTGACCCCTTCTCTGGCAGGTTTTTTCCATGTGTTTCATGCAAAAATAAAATAACTCTTTGGGCTGCACTTTCTTACATGGGTCAGTTTCAATCTTCAGCCTCAATGGGGGTTTTGGGGGAGGTGGTTATCTAAGGTGTTACTGGGGCCAGCTGCCTGTCCTGATTTCTGGATATCTTATGAGGGCCACTCAATGAATATTTTTAAATCAATTCATGATTAGACATTAAACATCAGCAAAGAAGGTCCTGAAAGGTGGGGTGCCTTCTTGTGTCTCTGAAATCCTGTGGCTCACTTCTGACAGATGGAGATGAGAATGGGAAGTCATATTCAGATAGTGGATTGCTGTTATGCGGCCGGAACTTCCAAACGGTCCTTACAAAGGCCATTAATGCTCACAGCTATGAGATGAGGACTTCCTCCATTCCTCAAAGAAGGAAGTGAGAGTGTGAGGCGCTCTCATGCTTACTATGAAATCCCTGAATCAAAACCAATTTTCTTAGTATACCTTCTGGAGGCGGGGTGGCTCCAGTTTTCCTAGGACCAAGAAGTCATCACCTCCTGTACTTTCTCACTCTGTCACAAATGTGCCTCATATACTGACATGGGTGCAAATCTTAATGTGATGTCGATGGATTTCCTTATTTCTCCAGAACCATGACTGACCCCGAGTCTATAAATCAGAAAGACCTTTGAGTCAACTAGTATTTGACATAATAAGATCGAAGTAACCCACTTAGAGGTAACAGATCACCCACCATGCACCCTGAGGCAAGCATGTCTTCCTCATTTTCCCTTACTTTATTTTCAATTCTCACCTATAATCTTTTTTTTACACAAACCCTTATTGAGGACTTGACATGCTGCAGGTGTGTTGTTCTGTGGGAGCTCGGGAAGACAGATTTGATGACAGTCTTGGTGGCCATCGCTAGGCCAACTGTCAAGCTCCCACGAAGCTAGGAAGGAAAGGGCTATGAAGATGGAAGGTGGGGGGAGCAGTGGTGCGAAGAGAACAAAACAATGTACCTTGTGCACATGGGCCCGGAGCTGGTGGCTCTCAATTAAGTGAGGAAGCTTGTTGGCAATCTCCATCCAAGGCCTGTACTGATCAGGAAGTTCTTTCTGCATTTCAAATAGAGAGAGTCAGTATTCTAGATCTCTTTGGAAAGCAGCTTTGGAATACTCTTCAAGGTTAATTCAAGTCAGCCCAGGGTGCGAATGGAACTCCCTACAAGCCTTGGCTTAGGCTAGACTGGTCACACCGACATGCAGATGACTAGAATGCAGAGCTTGTGCTCATATTGTATGGCAAGGGAAGAGGAAGTGCAGGCAAATGGGTCCTGATGTAAAACCACATGCTTCTCACTGTTGAGTGCATGCACTTGGGGAGAAGGGAAGTGGTTAATTCTTCACCTACTGTGGGAATGAAAAGGGAATAGTCACAGACACATAAGAATGGGGCCTGGTTTTGAAATCTAAAAGTGACTTCTTTTCTTCATTTTTCTTTATGTAGTTTTAGTCTTTTGAGACAGAGTTTTCCTAGGTAGCCCAGGCTGACCTTGAACTTACGATCCCTTGCCTCTGCCTCCCAAGTACTGGGTTGTAGACATAAGCCTCCAAGTATATAGTTTCATCTTTTACTTTGATGACAGTCTCTGTGAGTTGTCCAGGCAGCCATTGACCTTCTGATCCTCCTGCTTCAGTCTGAAGCACAGCTAGAATTACAGACTTGAGCATCTATTTCTGTGAATCAGTTTGAACTGGAATGCATTCACAGAATCCATCCATCCCCATCTGTCTATGGCAGCTTTTGCATGTGAGCACTAGAGCTGGGAGATTGCATTGAAAAGCTACATGCTGTGCAAAGGAAGCTTATTTGACCTTTCAGAAAATGTTTGCCAAACCTGGATGGAGCCTCGTGGCTCTCCAGTGAACAGGCTATCCCAAATCACTCTGAGTTACGGAGAAATGGAATGAAGACTACAGCCGTGCGTATGACTCGAGTGACTGTGTGATGGGGGAGAACACAAGTGGGAAATGCAAGTAGAAGGCAGAGTAAGCAAAAGCCAGTTCTCAGTGGGTTGAGCTTACACACCTGAAGAAAGTGAAGCTATGTACCAAGAAGTGTGAGGTTCAGAAGGAAAGTCACTAAAAAGGGAAACCAGAGTATGCAGGTGCAGTAATTGACTCCATCAGCACAGATAAAAAAAGAAAGTTCTAGAATTCCAGTGAACCACAGAGAAAGACCTCATGGAAGTCAAAACTTAAGAGAATTTTATGAAAGGCAATAATCAAGAGATGAAAGGCATCAATATAGAGTTAAGTGTAAGGCTACCCCTTGGCCACGCAGCAACACAAGGAAGTGCATGCTAGTTTCTCTACTTTTTGTTGATGTTGTTGTTGTTGAGATTAGGATCTTGGAAGTTGGGTTCAAATGCTCCTGTGCTAGGGAATCCTGAGAATATTTGGATGCACTTTTTAGGAGATACATTAGTGAAAGGGAACCTGCTTTCACGGAGGTCTTCTAAAATAAGTACAGAAAGCAGTTTATAGTCTGCTGCTGTAAGAGGAGCAATGGAAAGGGCGTGCTCAAGGGCAGCAGGGCATGAAGAAGGGGAGAAGGAACCTGGAGGGATGATGATGGGGGGAGAGTTACCCTGGAGGGATGATGATGGAGGGAGAGGTACCCAGGAGGAATGATGATGGAGGGAGAGGTATCCTTGAGGGATGATGATGGAGGGAGAGGTACCCTGGAGGGATGATGATAGAGGGAGAGGTACCCTGGACGGATGATGATGGAGGGAGAGGTACCCTGGAGGGATGATGATAGAGGGAGAGGTACCCTGGAGGGATGATGATGGAGGGAGATGTATCCTGGAGGGATGATGAAGAAGGGAGAGGTATCCTTGAGGAATGATGATGGAGAGAAATGTATCCTGGAGGGATGAAGATAGAGGGAGAGGTATCCTGGAGGGATGATGAAGGAAGGAGAGGTACCCTGGAGGGATGATGAAGAGGGAGAGGTATCCTGGAGGGATGACGAAGATGGAGAGGTATCCTGGAGGGATGATGAAGAGGGAGAGGTATCCTGGAGGGATGAAGAAGGAGGGAGATGGATCCTGGTAGAAGTAGAATCAGGAGCTGGAGGCTTGGCTTGCTAAGGACCCAGTTTTTTAGCTCCTTGGCATGAAGTTGATCAAGGTGATGAGACTAGAGAGGGGTTTGCATTACATTAAGAATGCGGGAGAGGAGAAGGAGCTGACTCTGGGCACTGTAACAACATGAAGGGACACTGAGAAGCCAGGAAGTTTGGCAGTACACACGTGGAGAAGTAGAGATCAACAAGAGACTTACATATGACTTGGGGTGGGGGTGGGAGCTCTTTCCATGAACACTTGGATCCCCAGGGATCCTGGGTTCAAACTCCTGGTTAACTTGCAACCCCAGTATTTCCAACATCTTGCCATAAACTCTGAAATGTTTGAACTTCAATTAGTCATTTCTTTTCTTTCTTTGACTCTGAAGTAATTCCAAACTGGAAGCCTTGACTCAAACTCCATCAGGAAGGGTGGCTGTAGCTCCTTAGAGGAGGTGTTGCCTGGTAAGACTTGCATCAGACTCAGCCATTAGCCTCATGGCCTGCCTACTCCTGGGAGACAGAGTCATTAATGGTGTCATATTCTCCAGGAGACAGCTACAGGGGCAGAACTGGAAGAGAGCTAAGTTGAAACTGATACACATTTGGCATCAAGAGAAGGGCAGCAAGAACAGAAGCAGAGGCCGGCCTATTGCTCAGGGGTAGAGCAACTGCCTACTACTATGAGCCTTGACGCTCATCCTTAGCACTAGAGAGGAGACAGAGAGAGGCTAAATGGAGACTGATAGCTAAATAGATGACAGAGAGACAGAAGATAGACATATGATAAATAGATGTATGATAGATGATAGAGAGATAGATTATGAGATATAGATAAGATTTATAGTTAGTAGGTAATAGATGATAATTAGATGATATATGGATAGATAGATATTAGATAAATGATGATAGATACATTGATAGGTAGATAGGTGATTGATAAGACATATGATAGATAGATAGATGGTAGACAGATCAATGATAGAGATAGAAGATAGATAGATAGATAGATAGATAGATAGATAGATAGATTTATGCTGCTGTATCTGTAAACTGGCAACTTATTTCACCTCACTGGTGTGATCCGTACATTTTAGAACAGAGTAGCATATCTCCTGTTTAATTGGAAATAGAAAACCCACACATGTGAAGTCACAAAGACTCAGATGCCCCTAGAGTGGGCAGGATTGAAGAAAACCTGTGGTTAACTATCACCTGTACCTTTCCTTCTTTGGTACCTAAATAAGGAATCCTCCACTCAGAGTTAAATTAAGTCTGAATGGATTCTACCTTCCTCGTTGATGTGAGGAATCTTAAATAGTTTATTTCTTAATATTGAGACTCTAGGTGGCAGTCTATTTTTTCCCATTAGATACCAGAGGAATGTTGTCCCTCTTCATTTCCAATGCCTCATGTTTGGACTCCTGTAAAACTTAAAAACACAACCACAGAGTCATCCAAGTGTTGTCAGATTCAACCCACGGACTCTTGGCTCTCACCCCAGACATACTGAAGCCAACACTCTGGTGGAGCCCTGAAGACAGCAGCCTGCCAGTTAATGCTGACACAGCCTGAGTTTGACAACCATTGTCAGGGACCAAGCCTTGCAAGTAATCCAGATGGGGAAGACATGTTTGAAAGGTTTTTTTTTTTTAAAACAACCTATTTAAGTGGGAGGCGTTGCTAGGCTCATACAGCACAACTCATTTAAAATGCATTCTGTCCTCTGGCCTTTCCGTTAGAGACTGAAAAAAGCATAGAATTGTATTAGTTACTCTTCGTTGCAGTGTTGGAGACAATAGCAGAAGGCAAGATTCTCACTAGGCAGCAGGCATCTTCTTGGATGTCAGCATACCAGTTCGTAACATACCAGTTGCATTCATTTAGTTAACTAAGTCAATAACAACCCCCCTCCCACCCCACCCCAGGGAAGTGCATTAGACCTTTGATGTCTGAGGTCTGAGGCCTCTAAGTTCTTAGACACCAAGTCTAGTTGACTAGAGAATTCGTCTTACAAATTCAGACAGTCTGTTTTACATCTCCATGTAGCATCAGGGAGCCAAGAAACAACTAAGGGGGAGAGAGGAACATAGCTTTGGGCCTTTGGAATTTGACATTTTCTGAAGTCCATGGGGCCCTGGAAGCTTGTCACAGACCTATAAATTCCCGATGGTGGGGCCTGCTAGTACCTGTAAGATGACATAGAATGTGGTCTGGTTAGCCCCTGACTCAGACCTAACACCTATGTGAAACTGGGCATGATGGGAAGTGGTAGCTCATTAAAGAGCATATATAACAACAGCAAAAAATAAATAATTGATTAAAAAGCCAAATAAATAAACAGAAAAGGAAGAATGCTTTGCGAGCAGAGGGCGGGAGAGAAGTATCTGTACTACCTAGCTGCCCTACATGACTTCCGCCCATTTCTAATTTGGTTTCCCTTTTCTAACAAGATAGCTGCAAGCCAGAGGTGGCTCTTCAGGTAGGTTGGTCAAAACTAGCTGGGTCTCAGATAAAGGGCCAGAGTGACTACTAAACACCTCTAACTTCATTATAATAAGTTCTACATCGAATGCCCCCATGACACTTTGGTACCATACAGTTAACAGTTGCTAGGGGAATGACCAGAAAGAACCATACAAGATAGAAAAAGAAGGATAGACAGATGCCCCCACAGGTAGACCCAAAGACCTGAGTTCATCCCAGACCCCACAAGGTGGCAGGAGAGAACCAGTTCCTGAGACAGTTATCTACGAACCTCCAGAAGCCCACTGTGGCTTCTACATTCATTCTGTGTGAGATCTGTGTCTCTCTCTGTCCGTGTCCGTGTCCGTGCCCCTGCCCCTGTCTCTGTCTCTCTGTCTCTGTCTCTGTCTCTGTCTCTCTCTCTCTCTCAAATAAATAAGTGAATTTTTAAAAAGAAATGAAAACGAGATGTTGGTTGCTGATGGAATTCCCGGGAATTTTCCATCTAGTCTCAGAAAAT